TACCAGAATAATGTTTGAATGTAAAGTTGACATTGCTTTTTGTTTTTTTGTCTATACTCGTGGGTCCACTTTCAATTTTTTTGAAACAGCCTTTTTTAAGGAGTCATAATTTTTGAAATATTAGTGTTTATAACTAATCAGTGCAATATATTTGGTGCCGATGTAATTATATACCCCACCTGCTTACTGGTATTTTTAGAATATCAAAACTTGATCCCAGAATAACTGCAACAAAGATGACTACTAAAAACATAATATGTTCAAATATATATACAAGGTGAAGTTTCGCTTGATGGTCAATTTTTAAAATTCCAAATAAAGGTAATCGTACATATAATTTCTTTACAGAGCAATTCACATTTTTTAATATTTTTAATTATATTTTTAAAATCGCTTAGGAATAGTATTTTGCGACACGGACAATCTACTCGAGTTGTACAGTATATTTTTTCTACGGCCCACTAACGAAAATTACAAAATTTTAAAACCGAATTTTAAAGATAATTAACCTCGACCAGGATTCGAACCCCGGTCCTCGAAATGGGATCGCTTCATTCAAGCTGTTGCGATACCAACATTTACATTTTTTTTGTTTAAAATTTATAATTGAATTGGTTTTAAATAGTTTTATTAAAATGTATAGTTAGTTCCTTTGTAAATGTAAACGAATATCTAGTGAATTGCCATTATTTATGGATTTTTAACAAGAATCGCTCATTTTTAATTTATATTTAATTCCATAATATACTGACAATTAGTTTGACTGAATTGTCAATTATTTAAAATTAAAAAAAGAATAGTAGAACGGCCATTAAATATGACTTGTGATCAGTGGCGACTGGTACATAAGTGCCGAAAAGCTGCAGAACTGCCAAAAAAATGCAAATACCTCGTCTACATTGCACAGAAATTATTTTAGACATTCTAAAATATACGTAAAATAGTAGTCTTGATAGGCATATGCCTGTCAAAAAGATTAATTAACAAGTTTGCGAACAGCGAAACTTTCTTCTCGACAGTATTTTGATCAGAAATAAAAAAAGGTGTTTAAAAAATGTTTAAGTAGAATTGTTCAATGCACCTTTTTTTCAATTTTGATCAAAATACTGTTCACAAAATTTTTAGTTAATATTTCTTGACAGACATATGCCCATCAAGACTACTAGAACAACTGAAGGAGGCGAAAAACGTGGTCAGTGCAGTGACACATCATTTACTATTTAATGATTAAAATTATAAGATCCGTAAAATCTATTTTACGTATATTTTACACTAGTGGAAAAAATTAAGGGATCAAAAAAAAAACTTGATTTTTTGCGATTTTTCGGTGACTGTATCTTTGGTAAAAATGGTCGTACGTGAATGAAAAAAAAAAAAAGCAATTTGAAGCTTGAAGTGTCTAGTTTATGGATCTTGCGATAAAAAAATTTCCAACCAACAATTAGCACAAAATCCTGATGAATATCATGGATAGAACATTTAAAAAAAAAAAAATTTTTAATTTTTGTGTACGGACTTGAAAATTTTTTTTTCAACATAACTACTATATGCATTGGATAGGTGGTTCAGTTAGCTTCAATTCCTTTTTTTTTGGTAGCCTTTCCTTGCTGAGTTATCAGAAAATGAACGAAAATGCGTCATTTCCTCTTCTCTCGTCAATATCTCAGGAACCAATGGCCGCTCAGAAAATGGAAGGGGGTTTTCGGAAACTTCGATTCATTCTCGACAAGGTTCTGGCATGTTTTTTCACGAGAAAATTTTTTTTTCATCCCTAGCATGACTTTGAAGAATTTCGGAAAATAGGTCTTTTTGAGTTTTTTTTTAGAAAATCACGTGCCACATTCAGAATATTGGGAAAATTATTAATGTTAAGTGTGCATCTTACAGGCTATTATTCCCCCGAAAGCCCTACAAAATTTCAACCTGATCCATCAAGCCGTTTCATTGTTTCATGCAAGTGAATTTTTGAAGAAATTGAAAGATCGCGTTTTTCTATCCATCATATTCATCAGAATTTTGTGCTAATTGTTGGTTGGACAATTTTTTTATCGCAAGATCCATAAACTAGACACTTCAAGCTTCAAATTGCTTTTTTTTCGTTCACGTACGACCATTTTTATCAAAGATACAGCCACTCGAAAAATCGCAAAAAATCGAGATTTTTTTTTGATCCCTTAATTTTTTCCACTAGTGTAGAATGTCTTAAATAAATTCTGTGAAATATAGATGAGATACTGTCATTTTTTGGGCAGCTCTGCTGTACTTGTACACTTGCCGCCACTGCTTGTGCATAGAATAGACAAGATACATGTGGGTATAAAAATACATATTTTTTTTTGAACTGACTTAGGATTCAAAAGTGGTTCTAAATGAAATGGGACCTTTTGTGCATGAAAGTATTGGATGAATACAGTTTGTTTAAAATATTGTTTTAGTAAATTCTTTACTTACAGATACCGTGTTACAGTTGGCTGGTGAGTGGGGAAAGGAGTATAAGTCGGCATTAAGATATTCTTAAATTCATTAGTGTTTGATATAAGTAATATTTTAAAAGCGAAGAGTGGCATAAGTAGACTATCCATGAAAATTTATTTTAGTAAGGTAATACATAAACTTGTTCCTATTGTATATTAAATAATTATTGTGAAAATGGGACAATGTTGACTTTCATCTTATTTCACTATATTTTTTGTAAACTACTTGTAGACATACCAGGTGACAATGTTAATCTTTTATTTATTAAGCGATTTGGACATAATTTCGAATTGACACTTAAACTTCATTTTTTACAGTGGCCCTATATATTTTGTTTTTTTAATCTAGTTCAAATTACATAGACAATGTTGCCAAGTTTTTCACAAACAATTTTTGTTTTATGCAGAAGGCCATGAACTGGAAAACGTAATACTCCAAGTGGTGTATGGTGCATATTGTCAGTTTGATAATAAAATTCTTACTTTGTAAAATAGCTTTTGTTTCGACTTATTTGGTACTATTAGCGCATTATTTTCCAGTTCATGGCCCTCTACTTCAAAAAAATTGTGGAAAAAAATAATAATTTGACAACACTGTCTTATGTAATTTGAATCGTAGATTCCAAAAAGCTAAATATACAGGAAACTTAATGGCATTTCCGATCAAACCGGAAGTCGACCATTTTGTTTAAGTATAAGTTTCATTTCGAAATTATATCTAGTAGGATTGTTCCAAATCGCTTTATTAATAAAAAAGATATTAAGGTGGCCCTGGTCTTATTGTAACACAGTATACTTAGGAAGATATAAGTGACAACGGTGAACCTAAGTTTTCTTTATTATTTTTCGTGTTTATATGTTTTAAAAGTTACTGTTTAATACAGATCTTTTGATTAAGCAGTTTTTTTTTTATTATTACTGAGTGGGAAGGGGTATAAGTCATGTGAAAAAGGGTATAAGTCGTATTTTTTGGTTTCTTTTGAGTGATTATAACTACATTCTTTGATTCTGTAAACAGGGTTTTGTGAATAATCTGGTTTTAAAAATATATATTTCAACAAACAGTACAGATAATATCAAATGACATGTCAATAGAAAGGGAAAATGGCAAAGTTTGTAACGCACTTTTGCAAACGTCGCTTTATACGTTCAGGAAGCACCAAGACCTTAGTATACAAAATGGTGACTATGCAGCAAAAAGCGTTTTGTATGTTAGAGTACTAAACGTAAAACGACTGGAAGACCATGAGTTCCTGACGAAACGGGGAATGCAGTTAGACAAAGATTCGTGCGTTTTCCCCAAAAGTCAACTAGCAGAGCATGCCGTGAACTTGGTAGCAAACTGTATGGATTTTTTTTCGAAAGCGAGTGCGATTTAAACCACATTGCTTTTTACGGTATGTCGTGACGTAAGAAGCCTTCTAGCTAAGCTAACGTAAAAAAAGGCAGATGAATAACTTTAATTTTTTCAAAACTTGTATTTGAATTATACCTCTTTCCCCATGCCACCAGCCAATTGTTAAAACAAATTGTTCTTATTTCTGACAAATTTTATTTTACAATCAAATTTTATAATATATCATTAATCATTGATAACACTTTTATGTAATATAAATTTACAACTCAACAGACATTTTTATAAACCACTCCATGAGAAAAAATTAAGATTTCTAGAATTTGTTGCATCAAAGATTCCAATCTCCGTTAATGTAATTTATAGAAATATGTTAGTATGTCAATTCTATAAATAATTAAAATTTATGGGCAATGTATGTTGGATTTAAGCATTCATTAAGGCCAAACTAAAATAAAAATATATATTATCCAAAATTCATAAAAAAACGAAGCTTTTTTTTGAACAACAATAAATCTTATTTAAGATGTAGTTTTTATAGTTAAATAATTTTCTAAATCATTTATTACTTTACTATAATAGTATATCACCAACAAGCTTTTATTTATTGGAGACTAACCAATTATTAAAAATAATATTCTAATATTTTTTTATAATTTGGTATGTTGCAATTATTCTGGACATATTTTCGTCAAGTTGAGGAAATACGCCGCCACCTGTGTATAAAAGTTTTACTGACTTCTTCAATAAAATACTTCTAAAAGAAATACATTATATCAAAAGAGATACATTGTCCTAGTTGGAGCGTTTTCAAAAACAGTTATTCATGTTTCATAGCACTGTATCTGTCATGTACGGACACTTACGTTCTGACGTTTATTATTAAATTGTCAGTCGTATATCTTGTATTTTAGAAAACTCTAGTTGCAATGCAAATGTGGAATATTAGGTGCACAAGCTTTTAATAGTATAATAAAATTATGACATTTGTTTTAAGTAGTGGACATTTTTTATTTAAACCTAAAAATAGAAAGCTTTGTGTGATCGTCTGCAGAATAGTCGCACTTACTAACCAATTTTATGTTGAACTGTTGGTCACAGTTAAAACGTAAGTTCGTTTTACATAACTAATCAACCACCATTACAAAACTAATATATGACATTGTTTTCAGCCAAAGCTGTATCTAAAAAGCCGATAACAGAGACTTTACCAGAAGAAAATTCGTTATACAATTCCTCCCCAGAGCAACATGTGGTTTCCGAGGGGGAAGCCCTTATTAACACTGAACCAGAGAGTGACCAACCGATATCGCCTCCTTTTGTCAAAGCTCCATTGGAGGATAGATCAAAATACGAAAAGCTAACTCAAGGCGCTTATGATGCAACTTCCTCCAATAGCAGCTCTGAAGAGGAAAACGCTAAAACTAAAAAGAAGAAGAAAATAACTATACCTGAAAAACTTCACTCAGTTTATAAAACTGTAGAAATGCCTATTAAACATCTGAGATCTGATCGTAATAAAACGGGGAGAAAGAATAAAGGTAAACACGGAAAAAGTGAGAAGGATACTGGCGATGTAGAATCTGATGACTCAATTGGATCTGCTAGCGATTTAAGAGTAGATGAAGATGATGTACTTCCAGTAAAGGAGGATACGATCAGTGAGACGATAAGCGAAAGTATTAAAACTTGCGGGTCATCTGCATACCACGCTGAATGTGAAAGCATGGCTACACACGAAGAAGATTGTACAAGTAGAATAATAAGAACAAAACAACGAGCGCAAGCTAAAAATGCTGTGGCACAATCAGAAGATATGCTCTTTGTAGGTCATCAATATGGAGACAAACCTTTATTAATGGATGATGAATTAGATTCTGATTCTGAAACTAAATATAACAATAAATGGGAATCAAAAAATGATCGGAAAAATACAGCTGACATTTGGATAGCTCCTTCCAGCAGTTTTGAAGATAACAAAGACGTTTTTGCAATGGCACCTTTTGCTAAAACGAAACCTCAGTCTAACGATTCCGAAGACAATATAGTACAAAGCGAAGATCCGGTTTCCGTAACATTTGAGGACCATTTTACTGAATGCAACGAAAACCAGACTGTTACCGTTACTACTCCCAATTCTAATCCGTTTTTATCACCGGATTTTGTGACGCCCAAACAAAATGATCCTAGTCCTGGTCTCGAACTTGCTAGAAATTGCTACTTCGGTGAAATTAATTTTGAAACAAATTTTAGAGATTCTTTTCCAGGGCCTCTTAAAGAATTTAGAGCGTCTCGGGAAAGTGTCGAATTACGCAAAAAAGTCGATATTCCGTCACGAAACAGTTTCGAGATTCCAAAGCGTCACAGTTTCGAAAGATTAAAACGTGGAAGTTACGAAATTACAAAACGCGACAGTTTGGAAATACCAAAGCGGAATAGTTTCGAAGTATGTAAGCGCGAAAGTTTTGAATTCAAAAGAGAAACTCTCGAAATACATAAAAAAGAACCATTATTTACAGAGCTCGTTAAACCAAATAACTTGATGACCAAGAGTGTAAATTTTCAATCTCCTAGCCCTAGAGCTTCTAGAAGCAGTTTAAAACTAGATTTTATCGATGAGAACCACTCGAGTCCCCAGGAAGCTTCCCATAAAAACAAGAAAGATAAAAAGAAAGACAAAGAACCAAAACCGAAATATTATTTGATAGACGATAACGTTTCCGATGACGCCACAAAAGTACCCGAAAAATCAAAGAAGCCGTCGAAAAGTAGTGCTCACAAAAAAAGTAGTAGTAAATCAAAGAAAATTCCGAAAGTTCGAGGTGACGGTGGTTTCAGCAATATGAGTTTCGAAGATTTTCCTTCGGACGAGCTTGAAGTGCTTGAGACCTCCATAATGCCTTTCGAAGTGCTTAGAAGCCCCGAACAAGAACAGAAAAGTTTCGGGATGAAAAGAATCGGGAATCCTTTTTCTTGATTGCTTTGCCGTAATACCCATAAATATTTTATTGTGGATTTGTTACTTTATATTTCTAGTTTTACAAATAGTACAGAAAAGAGTAGCTATTTTGGAACTGTTGTAATCAATTAGGCTGTGTGCTTACATTTGCAGCTATCGTTTTCTAATAATATCACCGAGTTGAATAGAGACCATGTTAATTTGTATGCATTTTTAAAATTGAATTTTGTCAGGTAATTTTCAAATGATCACTAGTTTAGAACGTGTTTTCAAACAAAAAGAAAAGATTATATACAAAATGACACTGAAAACAGACTACCCAATATTCCTCAATAATTATTATATTTAAAAAAATGCTCGAACAGAACGATTTTTAATTCAAAGGGGACATATCTTTCCGATATAGGCGTCTTTGACATGTCCCTAACCCTTTTAGCCACGAGTTTTTATTTTTTTAAATAATATTCTGAAACGTCAAAAAATGTCTAATATATAATTTTTAAGATTTTGAAAATATTTTTCCGTTTCCTTCACCCTCGTTTTCGTAAGAAAATAAAGGTCGTTATAGCGAACATGGTGACTCAAATGATATAAAAAAACTATAAATATACAATTTGAATTACTAGTTACAATGAAAAAATTTAAAATAATTGCATTCGCGAGTAATACACAAATAGAATTCTGCATTTCTGCATACAGAGTTAATTTTTTTTGAGAGATTTGTTATTCTTACATCTTCCTGCATCTCTGGTTTCATCAAATAAAGGCAAATGATGAACGCGGTCAAAACGAATATCATTAATAGATCTTCCATTTTTGTTTTATTAGTTGGTGGTGATGTAGAAATCTCACAAATACTACCCACTTGATGGCCGCGCCATTATCAGTTAAATTCGCAATTTGCAGTTGATTTTGTCTGCTCCGCTTCGCTTAGTTTCCCAGATGTAGTTTAATGGGGAATTCAGCAAATAAACTTGACAAACTATCTTAACGTATGGCTGTCCAGTTTATTCGTACATGATACAATGATGAGTCTGGTGCCAGGATACGACCTCCATGTCAGAATTAGAGACTTACATACGAATACAAACACCACTGACACAAGATTTCATTCTAAATAATTCTGAGAAGTTTTACACGCGATGTTTTCCAGACTCTGCATGGTTAAACATTACATAAATCCGTAGGTAAGACGAAATTAGAAGCTACAGAAAAATATCATAACAGACTCCCCACAGTGACAGACTTACTAACGAGAAATCTCACACAGACTAGCTGTAAACTCTAGTGAAACGGTAGCCATCAGAACGGCGATCCGAATATAACTAGTAAACAGCACCCAGGGCCCCAAATTGGAGCACAGGAAGAAGTACCAGTCGTTGCAAATATCGAAAATTGAAAAGAGTTTTTAAATTTATAATTATCACTAATAAAAATTAAATGAGGTATGCAATAAATATAAAGATTGATGTTCATTATTGAATTATTTTTGCCCTAGTTTTTCAGAGAAACAATTAAAATCTGACAAAACTACATACAAACAGATCAATTACCGCCCCAGATAACAAGTCAAACTTACTATATAATGCTGTATTCAACAAGGAGAGAGTACAGGGCTAAAAAACAGTCACAATTCTGACCTGAAGGAATCAAGTGGTTCACCGCGACTCGCGAACAAAACATGTATGCAGTTGTAAATTTGTAAATAAAGATTTTGAAAATTGCGATCCAAATATGACTTCTAACAAAGTCAAGTTGGATTTCTGTTTGGACGGATAGCTTTATGTTCACGATAACCGTCAGTTTTGAGACATTTAACAAAAGAAGACAAAAAAATTCATCCACCACACAAGGACAGCCTTGTTTGCAATTATTGAAAGACAAAAACTATAAACTCGACTTTATCACTAACAAACAACCACAGGACATCCAGAATGAATATCAAGGACTGAGATCACGCCACAATAGAAATCAATCAAATGTATATATGGAGGTAGAACAAAGGAGAATTAAATAAATTAACAAAAAATGTTTTTAAAGTAAGCTTTGGAAAAACACATGTTGAACAGAATCCTTCTTCTCAGTTTGGATTTAATTAATGGCCTACTTTAGAAACATTTTTTTGAGGATCACTTTTTATAATTTTAACGATTGAATAAACGCTTTTAAGGGAATTCTTACTTTTGAAAAAAAAAGGCTTAAATTTGAAGGATTTTCGGAAAGGAATTGTAACTGATCTAGTTATCCGATGTTATTGAAAAAAATATATGTTGTATAAACAATTGAAACTTAGATTGCTCGTCATTCAAAATTTTCCAAAAATCAATAGGAGATCCATTAAAAAAATTGAAAGTCGGCTTGAACTCGTCCAACTTCAAAAAATTATTACGCTTATATTTTTATAAATATAAAAAAAAAACGAAAGAAGAGCAGACTTTTTTATATGTTTCCAATATGCTTTTAAAATTTTATTTAATTTGATGCATTAGAATTTTAAATTTTAAAAATGCATTGTTTTTAATGCAAAATCTAAAGGTATAATACTCTTCTATCCTTCGCATGCTTTCTTTGTTGTCATGGAGTAGCGGCGGCCTGCAAGAAGAAGTGATCCTAGGGATTGAGCGCTATGAGTGCACGTGTTTCTATGTTTCATAATCTTTTTTGTAGCTTTCAATTACTTTAAATTTGGTACAAAAATCATCTGAAAATGGTCAAAAATTAAAAATAAAACAACAAAATCACTTTGATCTTTATGTAATTTTGATATAGGAAATTTTCGGGGTCGCTAAAAAAGATTTTAAATTTCTAAAATTAAAAATACACTGTGTCTCGAAAGGAATGGGACACATAACAGCAGTAGATTATTTACATAAAACTGTGAAAATTTAGCTAAATTTAAGTATTTAGAGTAAATTTTAAGCCAGATACACGGTGCTTGAAATTTTTTTTATATTTTTCAACTTAATTTGGAAAGATTCGCATTTTTTGTTGTTTTTACACTTCAATTGTGGCAGTCCGCTGTCTTTCAGTAAAAAACTGTACCTTTACCCTATTTTGTCACTTAATATCTACTTTCGGATAGGCAAGTTTGGCTAAATCGTGATATTTTTACATAAGATAGTTACTAATCTGCTGCTGTTTCATTCTTATTCTTATGGTCCTTTGTAAATATTTTTTGAGTTTTTGAAATAAGATATAGAGAGATTTACAGGGTCCCTGAAGAAGATTTCACTAACAGTCTAAGTAGTGGAACTTATTGTGATATACTACTATAATTTTTAGAATACTAAGGGCCAATTTCATAATCAAAGGAAACGGCATAGCTGAAGAATCTTCGAATACGTCGAATACTGAAAACAGAGAAGTACCCTTTAATGGCGGTCCTAATAGACCAGTTAATTACAGCATTTGAGAAAGCGACGTTCTTGATAGTAATCAGCTCGTCAACTGTCGTCGGTCCCAATCAATATTCGAACAGACCAGTTGATTGCAGCACATGTGAATTTGTCAACTTTTGGTCTATTCAACTAAAATATATCTTCAGGTTGATTTCACTGCGCTACATGTGACCAAATGAAAATTATAAATGCGCCGTCTAGAAAAAAGTAAGAATCCCCTTAAAGTAAAGTAAGCAATATGACTGTTCATTGCGTTACTTTTGATTTTAGCGCCCTCTCCTCTATAGCGGACTAAATAGTATATTGTACACCACGGGACTGAAGTGGCACTATTTATCCCGATGCGAAAAGTTTTTAGCCTGATGGAGGCTATAATTCGTCAAGGGATAAAAAGACACCAGTCCCATGGTTTATATCCTGTTTTATGCACTTTAGAAAAAATAAAATGAAAATTATGAAAAACCACTTAACGGTAGTTTAATAACAAACCAATGACGATGACAGAGCAAGGTTGTTATAGTGTTGACGTATATTGTACTTTGTGCTGTATTTTTGGTTATATGGCATAAATATATTGTACTTTTAATCCATAGGGATTAATAGTAATTAGTCTCAAGGGATTAAAAGTGCCATTAAGTATATTAAACTTTTAATCCCGAAGGAATAAAAGTAAATTTCAATCCCTAGGGAGTAAAGTGCCATTTTAGTCAAAATACGTATTGTAAAGTGTGAGTAATATAACGCATAGCATAAAATTGTTATTTTGGTTGATGGCGATTAAAATTAAATTGATTTAGGGTCGATCTTTTCACCTCTGAGTAAAGTTGCATGTAGGTTTACTTGACAGATTAACAAACAATAGCCCTATAGTTTAATCAGCAAAGAGTTACATTCAACTTTACTCAGAGGTGAAAAGATTGGCCCTTAATCTTAACTTTAATGACCAGGTTTTTCAATTATTTAAGTTCATGTTTCGTTTCATTCAATTATGTTTTGTTATATTGTCTGTTACATTACTAATCAAATTAATTTTTTAAACGAAGTTTCACATTTTTATAATGCGTAAGTTATTTAGCACTCTAAACTCAAAAGTACCACATACGGTACATTCCCTATTTAAAATTAAGGGTTTAACATTAAATGTCCCATTTGAATTTAAAATTGACCTGTTTTAACGGTTTTTTTTTAACTAATAAATTTTTGCCGAATATTGGGCAGACTGTTTTTAGTGGCCCACTCTGTATATGGATAGTCCTTGTCGTTATTTGAACATTTATCACCCAGAACATAATATTTTTTATTTTTAATATCGTGAGTACCTACTTCATTTTGCTAGATTTGTCCAAAATAAGGTTATACAAAGCGACAGCTCAAAAATAACAATTGTGTTCCAAAGTTTGAAAACAAAATTTTGTGAAATAATTAAATTTAACAAATGAAGGCTATTTACACGATTTCAAAAATGTATAATACGTTCGTTTGAAATACTTTTTCATTAAAACTTTTTCGAAAAAACGCTTAAAAATCTCTCCCCAACAACATACCTCCAAAAGTGACGATCAGAAAAATCTGAAAAATTACGAAAGTTGAGAATAAGTTGTAGACTGAATTAAAATTATAATAGATAGATAGAAAAAAAAAGAATGCTCCATAGTGCCTGGACTAAATCAATCAATAATAATTATCGACTCGACTTATTTTAAAACAATTACGCGAACACTATTGCTAAGTACGATTTGTAAGTTCTTAATTTTTTCTTTTAAATTCATAAATTACAAAAATATGATTAGTTCCCAGCCGTTTTACTCCCTAGAATATGCATTTTTTATCAATCATACGGTAAAATTGGTAGTATGCACAATGATAGGCAATTAAATTCTTTATAAAATATGTTATAACATATTTTATACCGAGAGGAATAGCTTCAGCGCCCTAGGAACTCAAAGAAGCTTTACTGTAGAAAATGAGAAACCGAATATTTTATTTCCAAATATATGCAAGTATTCTGTGGTAGATCAGACCCAGACTAGTGTACATTGGAGGTTTGTTTAAAACTTTTTTTTTTAATTTCATATTTTGGACATTCCCACAAAGTTTTGAAATCATGTATTCTAATGTTTGTCAAATTGTTGTAGGTACAAGCAGTTTAAAAAATTAGTAAGTCGATTTTTCAATATTTACGATTCTTAGTTTTCATTTTGCGACCAATAAGTTAATAATATTGATTTCTCGGTCCATATTTGGATGAATAGATTTATTTTTATACAATATAATCAAAAAGACAAAAATACCTTGCCATTAGAAATATTAACACATAATTTAAAATTATTATGAATTGTGAAATAGGATAAATAATTTTTCATAGAAAATGGACATTTTTGATAAATTCTTGTTTGAATAAAATTATTTATATCTAAATGAATGGAAAATAATGGATATTCGATTCGAATGAAAACCGAAAAATGTAGTTTTTTAAATTAGAATTTTACTTAAAAATAATAGTAGTTGTAACAGTTAACAAGTTAGATTATGCTATGGAAAACTTATCACAACTTCTTTTGGAAATTAAATCTCTCAATATAAACATTACTGGCTTCGCTTGCTGGTGAATACATCCCCTTTTAACAAGCCAATGTCGCCATTTGGAAAAACAGGTTTTTTTTTCTAAAAGCAAATTTTAAAACATTGAATATATCTGAATTGGCATTTTTTTTGTTTCGTAACCTGGAAAACATTTAAATCTTATAAAAATCTATTACAAAATCTTTCAAGTCCCTAAATTATTTTTTTTAAATCTAATGAAAAAATAGAGCAGAGTCCGCTAGCTTTACTTGCCCTTTGAAGCAAGGTGAGGTGCCGATCAAATTGTACCACTAAAGTTTCCACATATCAGACAATTTTTTGCTAGCAATCATTTTGTCAAAAATGTTGGTATGCATTTATTTTTTGTGTATAATTAATTAAAAATTTGCTTTTTCAAAATAACCTCAATATATGGCTAACAAAAAGTTCCGAGCACTGAATATGGCATGTTTGAAAATAATTTTCAAAAGTGACAAATATACAAGAGAACAGTTTTGTTTTACCCTTTATTAATACAACGAAATCATAACAAAATTTATATCACCACCCACCATACAGGTTTTCAGTTTATACATAAAACGTAACAAAACGAATTTTGAAGATGTCGCTTATTAATTATTCATTTTAAAAGATTATAACATGGATCAATGTAAATCATATTTTATAATCGGTACTCTCATTTTATAGTAAAAAATAATCAAATGTGTATCATGTTTTTACCATATTATTATAAAACATTACGAAGTCAACAGTGTGTGTATTGAGAATGCATCGGCAGAAACCGAGAAAATGTAAAGTAAAGATTTTTTAATCCTCAAATTCCAAAGATGAGATACAAATGTTTATCTATAAGAGACAATAATTAATAAATGTAAATTATTGCAAATAGAAAAAAATATCATTTATAATTGGTGTAATAAAAAATTACAGAATATATGGGTATACAGATTCGGAAATTAAACATCTACATTATTGCGGATCTGTGAGAGCAGAAGAGAACGCATCATATCTAAGCGAGAACGAATTTGAATTAGTTTGCTTTAAGAATAGGCCAGACACATCATCAAATTCGCCCCATCCACTACCATTGGATTGGTGGATCACCTATTTTACGCTATATTAGTAATGACGTAATTAGTAATAAAAATGGAGGTTATAGAGATTAATTAACATTTTATTTCTATTATTTTCAAGATTATTGTATACATCTAAATATTAAAAATAATTTGGTTACATAATTTTAAACTTTTAGGTCCTGAAAATATAAAAAAAAAACTATTCTACCAACAGCAAAACATTCACAGGCGTGCATTTGTTCATTATTTTTATTAATATTTCTCGTTTGCTTTTTCGCTTGGAAATACCATATATATTAACTTTGTATACGCCACTATTTTTGTTGTCAAATTATTGACGACGTGCCTGACCTGTTCTAAAAACAAACGAAAACCACGTCCCATAGACAATACGGTGATCTCGTCCGGGGGTGTGACGTCACAGAATGAAAAATTTAGGTGACAGAAAATATTTTGCACATTAGTTTTTTGAAGAATCTTATATTTTATTAATATTTAGTGGCGTTTATATTTTTATTTTTGGACTATTTTCCAGTGTTAGAGTTTTTATATTATTGGTAGTTTGATTTTTTAAAGGATACGCTACAAAACGGCAAAGAAAAATCACTTAATGATTTCCATAAAATTTTAAATGAATTACTTTTTATTTGAATTATAAAGATAAATATTATTGTACGATTGGTTTATTTTAAACATTTTGGGTTAGGGTGCGGCCTCCGAGCCGAACTCGGACCACACTTTGTTTATACCCTGAAATAATTTGAAATTTTAGCATGCCTGGAGCGAGATGTAGTGTTGATGTTTGCAGACACCATTTTCATAGTTCATAAATAAAAATATAAAACCACTAAATAACAATAAAATATTAGATTTCTTTAAAAACTAATGTACCAACCCAAGTAGAATATTTTCTGTCAACTGACTTTTTCGTTCCGTGACGTCACTCCGTCCTTAGCAACCAGGATGAGATCACCGGTCATATCTGAAACGTATCTGAAAAGCCTACACAGAACACACGAGGCTAATAACCATAGCAGTTGATGCCGATGACACAAAAAAAAATAGCGGTTTAGAATGCGCTAGTTCAGTGTGATGTCATTTTGGTTCCACTGACATTTTATTCTAACCAAATTTTTAACAAAAACATCAATAAATTTGACATATACGTTTTTACTGTTTTTATTTTATTTCAATATATTGTTTCCATGTCATAAAAAATAGTTTAAAGGTATATAATTGGTAACTAAATGATTGTATATTTGATACATGCTATCTACTTACTTTAGGAATATATTTATAAAAGTGAAAAAAACGATATAATTTAGGTAAACAAAACGAACAAAACGCACTCAAAAATCTACTGTCACTTTAATTGTCAGTGGAACCATAATTACATCATCACTGAACTAGCGCATAGTTGGCAAACTAGACTAAGAGCCAGCGACCACCAGACCTGCACTATAGTATGAAGGTTAAGATTGTTTTGTGTGCACATTATAGCAGTTAATAACGTTAGAGTGTTATAAATCTTGACTACGGGGGCGTTTGGTAGATAACAGGTCCTCAAAGTACCAAAAAACGTAATAGTATGAAAGTTGATTTTTTAATATGTTCAACTGAATGACATAATATCCAATTAACAATTGCTTGATACTTTTCGCGGGGGGTTACGTCTACCAGACGCTTTCAAGGTGTCGAAAAATGTTTGCACTTTATAGAAGACTATGAGGGAGCTAAAAAATATGAATTTAGCTCAAGAGTAAAAAGCCCTTATTTGTTGAAACGGAAAAAAATGTTACTTGAAAAACATGTTTAAAATCATTATTTATCAACAAATATGAACACCCTGACACATCCGACGGGTCTAATAGTAAAAGGCCAGGTGTAACTGATCATTTGTGCACATAAGTCCTAGTGAGAGTAGATAAAAAAAATCGTATATCTTAAAGGATATTTTTGCATATTGTGTCTGAATCTTATAGAAAATGTTTTGATTGTACATTTCTAAGATAATTTTATTCTTGTTAAAAGTTAGTAAATGACCTATATCCCAGTAAAAACCTTATACATATTAAATGGTAGATCTAAAAATATGAATGAAAGAGTGAAAATTTTATTTTTAATCTAACCATAGTTTTCTGGATGGTGGTTGTGATTTT